GTAGGGTCCATTTGCTTGAGTGTCCCCTTCCGATAAGGGAAACGAGCGAGTGTGGCTACTCGATAGCCTTAGCACGCTAGTTTCGCCTTCTAATCAAAGGGAAAATCAAGTCACGATTTAGGTCTCCCCGTACCCAATATGCATGAATTCCCTAGGCTCATGCATTCTCAATCCACTCTATCATTACACTTTCACTTTTGTCTCATTTGCACACATGCACCTTTTTATCACTTTCACTTGCACACGAACACTTTTTTATCTCCACTTGCACACGAACCCTTTTATCTTCACTTGCACACGAACATTTTATCTTCACTCGCACACGAGTACTTTCATCTACATTTGCACACCTTCACTCTTATCTTATTACTTTTATCATTTTTCTCACTTCACACAAACTCACACTTTCACATGGCATGCATTCCACTCATTTTTCACGTCATTTAGGTTTAGGTGTGACCTCTCCAAAAGGATCATTAATGGGCTTCACAATTAATGTGATTGGCACCACTCAACCTTTGAAGAGAAATTTCCCCCAATCCCCCTAGGTCTAGGTTTTTGCATTCATATAGACATATCCAATACGCGATACATACCTTGGGTAGAAAAATTAGGAAAAATTGGTTTGAGTCGCGCAACTAGCCTTGGCTAGGTCAAAGGGGTGCCTTGGATTCTATCCTTGCCTTCCCCTTTGTCAAACGTGACCCCCGAACCTTTTTCTTTGGCTTACGTGGACTAGGAGTCGTTTTAAAAAGGGTTTTACTATTTTGTCTTTAAAAAACACTTTTTTGGGTGACTTGGTACACCCCAAATCTATACCAAGTGGCGACTCCGTTTTCATATCTAAAAACCCTTTTTAAAATTTCATTTGGCCAAATCGTCGCTTTCCAAAGTCCCATGGCCTTTTTACTTTTCATTTTGCACACGTTCACACCACACTTCACACACACATCACTCGAATCGAAAAGTGGGGCGCGACATTTACTTTCCTGGTTTAAGGGGCTAACACCTCGTCCTGTCTGGTATCAAAGCCAATAAAGAAAGATAATTATCTAAACAATTCAAGAAAACTATTTTTTTATAATATCTCAAAACAATTATCAATTGAAAAGATTTATCAATTTTTTGTAATATCCCAAACTTGTTCCAATACTGAAAAAAAAATTATTCCAATAAGCTTTTCTAATTTTTTTCCTTTTTTCTTTTATCTCTTTTAAGATTACAATTTTTTGTTTTCCATTAAAAAATGGCAATGATGTGAAGGTCATTTTCAGTAGCTTAGTATGCTAAGGAAGGTATATGTAATTTATGAAAATAGAGAAGAATTAGGTGAGATTGTCAAAAACCTTAAGGGAGGTTCCTGAAAATTTCCCTTGGAAGAATTGTGTTCCAAGATTTCCCATGGGAATTTCTCCCAAAGTGATAGAAGATTTGGAAGGTTGAAGTGAACTTGGTCCGAAAATATGGGCCTTGATGTACACATCTATCCAGCCCTTTTCATCTCCGTAGCACATACTTAGTTAAATATATAACTTCATTTGAAGTGAGAAATTTGATGAAATATTTAAAATTCATTAAAATCGCTCTAGTTGTTTTGATTGCTTAAAAGACATTTGGATTTGTAATTCACTAATTATCTAAATACATTCTAAAAATTAGAATACTTGGTAATTTGCAAACCCAAATTCGTCTTAAATAATCTAAATAACTAAAGAAAATTGAGAGAATTTTAAATTTTTTGTCAAATCACTCAATCCAAAGCAACCTAAGAGAATTCAGTTAAATGATTCTATATAATAATTTCTTTTTAAATAGAGGAGATGTGAGATTTACAAAGCAAGAATAAAAAGAAGAAGGATTTAAATTCAGGATCTCTAACATTTTGAGGTCTCTACCTTAGCTGCTAAGAATTCTATATGATAATGTTTTCACTTCTTGTATTTGTTATAAAATAATGATAATACAAGTGAATTGTTTAGTCACATTCTTAAAGAATGTCAACATATGCAAGTGTACATCGAAATCCTACAAGTACTCTAAAGGAAAATTGATAAAAACAAGTTTTCTGTATGTAATGATATAGTAATGTACTCACAAAGATACACCCAAAAACATCTAATTCATATAAATCTGAAATGCAACTAATACTAAATAAAAAAAACCAAAATCATTAAAAGCGCTTAACACGTTATCAAACAATAACACAAGTCATGAAGTCAAGAAAAATATAACAAACAAGGAACACTCACCTATTTATGCAAAAATAATGTCCAAAATATCCTGCCGGATATTACCCTCAGTCACCGATAAAACCTAAGATTAAACAAGAGAAAATATTATAGTTCATCTAGCACAACAATTAGGTTAAATTGAAGAAAATCTGACTAATTACGAGTAAAACGTATAAAGATGGATTTAAAGTGAAAAGAGGACATTTGGATCCGTGAACGGGAGTAACTAGGGTTTCATAAACCAACCGCGAAACCAAACTCAAAAGGGTTATAAAATTCCAACGGAAAACATTTGATCGAGGACAAATCAAAATCCAAATAGATAGGTTAAGGAAATATTCTTTCTAAATCGTTTGTGTGGCTAAAAGTCAATATATATTCAAGTAGAGGTTCTATAGCAAAGGCCTTAATGAAGATCATATGGAAGAGGAGGACACTTCAAACCTTACTTTTACACTTAAAACTTCACTTAAAAGTTGTTCTTTCGTGGCCGAGAAAACCCTAAGTCATACCTCTATATTTTGGTATGACGTAGTAAATAAACATTTGAAGGTTCAAACGGAAAAGGTATCATGTTTTAAAATGGTAAAACGGTCACATTATTTGCCAAACGAAAATATACAAGTTCAAATAGAAACTTAGCTCTCGACCACCTTTTGAAAGAACCGATGCAATTTTCAAGGAAATACATCCAACTCGACACAAAACACATTTGCAAAACCACTTTAACTCATTTACAAAACAAGAAAAGAAACGGACAGCATTTCCCCTAATTTACTTCACTTTCACTCTACAAATAAAAAGCCCATTCTCATACCATTAGTTACAATCACACATATGGTCCATAGATAATAAAACATGCCTAATTAGGGCACAAAACCCCTCAATCCAAGCCATTTAGAGACTCAAAAGCCAACCATTAGAAAAACCCCCAAATTAAACCCTAGAAATCGGAATTCATCCCCTCAAGCGTAAATTTTTCGCAATCAACCGCAATTAACTTATAAAGAGTCCGTTTAACACCATAACAATCCATCAATTCAAGACCAATCCATGATTATAATATAAAATCAGAAAATCCCCTAATAAATCAAAAATTCACCATAAATTCCTTCAACCCATGAAATACTCCACAATATAACATACTTAACCACCACAACCATTAATTAACCAATATTAGAACAAAAGGGAACTTGTTTATCCAACTTACCTCAAATTCAAGAAAGCTATCAACTTAAAGCTTCTCTTCCAAAATCAATCCATCAAAAGCTTTAACCCTCCTTAGTACACACTTGTATGAAGTATTGTCCAAAACCATCGGTGAAATCGCAAGATTCAAGTAAAAATTGAAGTTGGAAAATGAAGAGCTTTTCTTGCTTTTCTCTCAAGGTGCACGGTTGAACAAGAAGAGGAAATGAAGATATTTTGGTCAAAAAGTGGAATAAAAAGGAAGGAAACAACCGGTCAAACTTGGCTGCCGGACCTACCATGTCACAATCCGGCCGGATTCAAGGCAGTGGCGGATCCAATTTTTTTTTTCAAATCCCTCAAGCAATCCAGCCAACAATCCGACCAAGAACTGGCCGGATTTGGTACCAAGCACTTTCAGCAAAAATTTTCTTTTCCAAACTCACACGTCGCGTTCATCCGTATGTCCAACAAGGATATACTTACATAATTTCACACAAATACACGTAATACACACAGCCACATACTTACATTTATAATGAAAATTCCCCTTAGAAACATGGCGAGCAAAGTGTCATTTTAATAAAACACTGGAAGTGAGAATAAACAAAAAGGCTAAGAAAATGTGAAAATTTTTAGGGTTCTCACAGGAGGAAAGGGGTGACAGGAAAGGGAGAGGAAGGGGGAAAGGAGAAAAGCAAAAAAAAAAAAAGTTTGTATGTGTTTGCAGAGGCAGTTGCGGGAGAGGGAATAGGAGAGGAGGAAGGGGAAGGGAGAAGAAGGGGAAAGGGAGGAAAGAAAAGACAAAAGAAAGAAAGAAAGAAAGAAAAAGAACAAAGAAAAAGAAAGAAAGAAAAAGGAAAAGAAAAAAAAAATTTCATCTTACAAAAATTTTTTTACAACTTCTACCGTAATTTACAGTAAAGTTTTATATAAACACCCAAAAAACTCACATTTCAAACTGGACCAAAAAACTTACTTGCCAAACAAGGCATACGTCACACTGGTATCTTCTCCATTTAGTTTGGGCATCGAATTGCCAGAGAAATGAAGAACATCATTTTCCCCTTTGGCCAAGGAATTTACTTTCTATCTACCTTTGCGCCAATCCATTTTAAGACCTTCCAGCTTTAATTCTTACCTTACCTTTTCTGCCTTTCTCGACTCTCGAAAACGCTGGAAGCTGAAATTTTTCTAGAGATACTCACAATTGATTTTTCTACTGATTCACAAGAGGGATTGAATGAATTAACTATTTCATTTTCCCTTTTGTAATTATAATTTTCGATGTTGTATTCATTATTTCATACAGCAAGAAAAAGAAGAACATACATGAACCACAACAAAATTTGTAAAAGAAAAAAAAAAAGAAAAATAGATTTTGAGACACAAAACTCACAATTAGAAAAAAAAAAAAAAAACTGTTCAAATATATACACAACTAATAATACATTACATAGTGAGTTTGTTTGGATAAGAGTTTATTTAGATGATTTATTTGAGATATTTACTGTAGCACTTTTTGTGATGTGATGTATGTGAGATAAAAAGGTTATTGGGAAAATAAAAAGGTGATTGGGATTTGTGAGAATAAATTAAGCAAACCAAATTCTCTATATCCAAACAAACTCAGTGATTCTAACTCACGGGTTGGGAGGGTAAAAAAATAAATAAAAAAAAATCAATACATCGAGGTAATCGGCAATCAGCCAGCCAAACTAAGATAAACAGCAGTAGCAACACCAAGCGCGTACACACCCATCACCGTGCCAACAACTTCTTTCCCAGGCCGAACCAACATCCCCACTCCAGCGATTCCCGCAACCCCAACAGGAACCCTCTTCAATACCTCTTTACGCGCGTTGGAAACGACGCCGTCAGTGAAAACCTCGAGGGCGACCTCTTTAAATTCCTCCTTTCCGATCACGTCGTCTTCGTTTTCTTCTTCTTGACTCAGGCCAGGCCGGCTGCGACGGTTAATAACGACCTTAAAAGCCCGGTCAACTTGCTCCCTGGTTGGAGGAGACGGGACCCATTTGGTAATCAGAGGAATGGAGAGAGATTGATGAAGGCGTTCGATCGAAGAGAAGAGTTGGTAAGGTCTGATTCCTGGAAAGGCGTGTTGGGCAAGAGCGAGTGAGGACTCGTAGACTGAGTCGCAAGCTGAGTTGAAATCGGATGAGTTTGTGAGGGTTTGGTTGACTCGTTTAGAAGCTGAGAGTCCCATATCAGAGACGCCTGTGGTTGTAAAAGGATTTTCGTATCAGTTAATGGAGTAAAAAGGGAACGGGTGACTTATAAGATGGAAGGTTCAAATGTTATTTGGGCCCTTGAACTTTTGCTGCGTCTGATAATAACCCCATCAACTTTGAACAATGCTGATTAGTACCAAAAAAGTTTTCAAAGTTTGAAAAAGTAACCGAAAGGCCAAAAAAAAAAAGAAATATATTCTGATTAAAACTTCTTTTGTACAGTTTTGAACGACAAAAAGAGTAATTGAAAAATTACTGGAACTTAGCTTAATTTTTACAATTGAAAAACATTATCATGGTCAAATAAATTTGAAAAACTTTATGGAACATAAAAAATGATGCAGTAAATGGGACAAAAAACAACAGTACAATTAATAGAAATGGAAAGGAGTAGCAGGAAGAACCAAATGAAACCTAACTAAAGGAGTGTGTAGCTGGCTTCCTAGTCTCCCCTAAAGGAAGGGTAAAAAAAGGCTAAAGCTTTTGGATTTTGAAACAGTTCAAACTTATCACTTCATGGTATTCAAAATATCTAGGGTAAAATTGAGAGCGAGAGCGCAAGATCATTTTGTATCTAGGAAGACAAATGGATCCCCAATTTTCTCGATGGTAGATTGGTTTCTCACAAGTCTCTAGACAATCAAATGAAGGGAGGTCCTCAAGTTGATCACTGATTGATATTGTGTGATGAGAATTGGATATGTCGTAGGGATGAGCAAACAGTGCATATTCGGTAATTCGGGTACATGAATTTGGTAAATTTGGTTATTGAACTTACAGAAATTTAAACCGCTTTCAAATTCGCATTGGAGATACCCGAATTCATTTCAATTCCGAATTTGAATTCGAAACCGTAATAACTGAATTCATTAAAAAATATATAAAAATTCTACTGAATCCTTTAATTGCAATTTCCGGCCTAATTAACCTTGTTATCAAGTTTAATAGCTACGCTGCTATTGTAATCAATCTAATTACAAACTTACAGGCTACAACACCAATTCAAAGGAAATCAACATCCAAATTATTACACACACATTACCAATGCCAAAATTCATCAAATAGAAATCTGGAATGCCAATATACAATACATGAGTGATATACCAAATTACCAATATCTAAATTCTAATTACTAATTATGTTTATTGTTTAATATTTAGTATTATACCTCTACTTATTAATTATTATCTAATTCTAGTCATGTATAAAATAATAAGTATTATAGTTATGTTATGTATTGTTGTATATTTGTATTATTATAGTCATATAACAATTAACAAATACTAAAATAGTATATTGTACATCATTATATATTATTGTTATCATAAATACATGATAATACCATATACTAATTGTTATTAATAGCATTTACTTATATAATATAATAATATATAAGTAGTATATACTAATACTAAATAACATTTATCTATATATTATATAATTTTATAAACTAATTTGGCATTCGAATGCGGTAATACGGTATCCTATTTCATTTTATCGAATTTAAATTCGAAATCAATTATTACCAAATTCATAAATTCATTACTTATTTCATACCATATTAGAATTTGGTGAATTCGGTGAATACTGCTTTTGTACCAAATTACCAAATACCCAATTTCAAATTACCAAATTGAATTTGAATTCGGTACGTACCGAATTTGCTCACCCCTAATATGTCATGCCCAGACGGACTTTTTTGCTACTAGGATGTGATCGCATAAGTCTCTTTCTTTTTCCCCCAATACTTGGAGGGCAAAGGTGTCACGCATCAAATTTGGGTTTCTGGATCGGATTTGTGATGTTGCACACAGTATCGATGAGACCTTACTCTCACAAATACAAGATATCATGCTCATAACTTATAAAAATTTAATAAAACTTAAAACTTGAAAATACTAAAGAAATACATGCTATATTCGAATTCATACATCTACTCAACACCTTACACTATACTTCCAGAATGAAAATGTCTTATCTTTTTACTTTGCTCTTATCTTCTAAACGTAGATAATCTTGCTTTCTTGATCTGGAAGAAAATAATGAATGAGGATTGAACGATGACCGCCCAGTAAATAAAACTCACTCCCCTATCGAATCATATAACTATATACGTATGGTATACATTTGCAAATTTGGTCACACTATACCACATGCATACATTAAATAAAGACAGTAGGCATATTTTTCATCTATTACATATATACATATATATATATATATTTCGTTGAGAGTGATTTGTATACACTTAAGTAGATTTCGGCCATCGTAACACTTAATTCCATAGGGTCTAGAGGTGGACCCTGCCAAACGTGGCACGGAAACACATAACATGATATGAACACATTTATAGAAAATTCTTGAAAATCATAAAACATATCAATCATATCATTTCATTTTATAAAATAAAGAGCTTTAACGTGCCCTTGAACTCGTTTCTAACATATAACTAGTGTCATATGTACCTTAATTAGTCCATATGCTCTATTCTTAAAATGCTCATTTCTATCTTGGATAACCTTAGAAAACATGTTTGAACCTTTATAAAAAGAAAGTGACAAGTTTTCTAAAATGGAATGTTTCCTTTTTCAGAAAGTTTTCTAATTTAGAAAGTTTCCCTCTTTGGAAGGTTTTCCAATTTGAAGAGTTATACCTTTTTCCCCAAAAGTATTCTAATTTAGAAAGTTTTTTTAAAAGGGTCCTGATTTGAAAACTTGTCCTTTTTTTTATTTTAGAAATTGCCTTAATTCATATATTCATAAGGAAACATTCTATTCTAGTATATAACGGCCCTACATTAGCTCGGACCGAATTTGAGTTTAGACTTGACCTTAGAGTTAAATCCAATCATCTCTAGTGGGTGGATTTGGCTATCCATTTTATTAAATATTGTAGAAATACATGAAAAAGTCTTGTTTAAATTTGTATTTGGGTTCACAATTTACTTGGGCACTTAAAAAGAGTTTTTGAATTAATTTTTTTTCCTAAACCGCCAATCATCTCTGGTGGGTAGATTTGGCTATCCATTTTATTAAATATTGTAGAAATAATACAACGCAAGAGAGGGATGAGAGCCTTTATCTCCATGCTAAACAAGCCCTTAGTAACTGTCAGGCAGGCAGCTAAAGAAGAGAAAAAAAATAAAAAGCTGAAGTCCGAGCTCCAAATCCAGCCAGCGAATCCGCAATAATGAAAGCAATGTGTAAATTGAGCAGAAGTAGGTAAAGCCTTACAAATCTCTCTATAAATCGGACGTAATCTAGCCGGTACAGCCATGCCTTTAGCTAATATATTTACCATGATCATAGAATCCATTTCCACTCACAAAATTTCAAAACCAGCCTTTTCTTTTAAAGTTGTTACCCTCGCAACAAAGCCAAAGCAGGCACGCAAAGCATCAAAATTACCAAAAGAATCTGAAAAAGCAAACAACAAACCACCAGTACAATCCCGTGCCACACCTCCTCCACCACTAATCCCAGCTACCAAATCTGAGGAACCATCAAAATTTAATTTAATCCAATCTTCATCCGGAAAATTCCATCTCACCAGCCGCGCTACCAAATTAACTGGAGAATTAGAAAGCTGACTAACTATATCCATCCAAGACAAAAGGAAAAACTTGCCTGGAAACAAAACAGAACAAAGCAGTCGCGCCTCATAAACCATACCTCCACTAACCCAAGAAGAATCTATACAAATTCCCTCGAACTTGGCCTTATTCCGTGCTTTCCATAGATGCCAAAAAATAAGTAGAGGTGTAACCTGCATCAACCATCTAATAGCAGCCCCCTCCACCTTCATAAACCACCAAGCCTGACATAATTCACTAACCAAAATAAAAGCCATATGAATACCTAAAGCCTTTGCAACATATTCCCATACCTGGATTGCCAAACATCACGAAACAAACACATGATCCAACGTCTCGACGATCGGATCATAACAATAAAGACACTTAGATGGTCCAAAAACATGAAACCGAGTAAGAATATTGCCCAAGGTAGCTTAAACTAAAGAAAACACCACATAAAGAAATAAAACTTAACGGGAATGTGGCACTCTAAATATGTGAAAAATCATACGACCATACGGTGGAAATCCTTACCAAATGATATACTGTGCTCATGGTAAAATTACCCGAACTTGATGAAGTCCAAGTCATTACATCTGGACCACCCAGAAGAGAAAAAACCAGATCACAAATGCACAATAATGTCCTTTGGAAGCAATATTGATAAAACATCCAAATCAATGATTTCAGTACTAAAAACATTATGAACCTGAAAATCCTCCTCATGGTGATCAACCAACCAAGCCAACGGACCCAAACTCGACCAATTATCCCACCAAAAAGAACAATCCCCCAAACAAACATCCTATTTGATCGCAAACTGCATCTCTGCCCAAACTAAAAAAACACGATGGCATAAAGACGACACATTATTACAAACAACAAATGTATTCGGATGACAATTCTTCAAATAGTGATCATACATAAAAGAAGCCCAGAGTGAATTCCTTTGACGAAACTGCCACCATAATTTACATGAAAACTTGATGTTTATGATAATGTTGGACATTTAAAATAAAAAATTCTTTAAGGAGTCTAATTAAGTTTGGGTCATTACAGCAGAGTTGGGCTTTCAAAATAGTCTAATTTATGAAAATGACTTGCTCTAATTGATTTGGGCATTTCAATACATTATTATATTTCATTGGGTTAATTCTAAACACGATGGACTCAATTTAACCAATAGAACTAGTTCATACAAGACCGGTCAATTGTTAAACCTTTTGGGCCATAAAGAAATTTTAAAATACTTTAATTGCTTTATCATGATTATTTTAGAACTTTAGGGATCATTTCTTAACTCTTGTGCTTTGTAAAGATAGTCCTTTTATTGATAATGAATGTCGTCATAAAATCTGGACTTTGGTTATACAATTACAAAGGTTGTCCTCGTATTAACTTGATCAATCACAATTTAGTAATTGCATAAGCAT